GCACCAGAGCTGGAGTGGCTAGCTCTTTCTTGTCCTTCACACTCCTGTTTTTAAAAACCTCATCCATGGGTTAGCATGGTGCTCAGAGATTTGAGACATTGGCTGCTCTTGCAGAGGACCCAGGTGCAGTTCCCAGCATCCATATGGTAGTTTGCAACCAACTGCAACTCCAGTTCTAGAGAGTGCAGTGCACACATACATACAGTCAAACACTCTTACACATACAATGAAATAAATAGTTATATATTGACCTCCCTCAGAGGCCCTCCTCCACTCTCCCAATTTCTTCTTATTGTCCATCATCCCTGACATTTACCTCCTCAGGGGCTTTGCCTAAAGCTGTAAATGTTTTGATTGTTTATTTGGTAAATAAGAGCCTCTCTCTCTTTCCTGTTCCTGCTTGAACAGGAACCCCACAAAAGCAAAATGGCTTGCTTGCACAGATCTTATACTTTGTGTATAAACTGAATGAAAAATGGCCCAAAGCATCCCAATGACCTAATGTTAGAACAGCTCTGTGGGCATCATCTTCTCTTTGTGGATAATTGTGACCAAATTTAAACTAGAGTGGAACAGGAGAACTTGCTGGGTTCTAGGTCCTCCATCCCTCGTAGTGAGGGGCCTCTCATCTGCTTTTACATTTTGGTCTCCATAAGGTCATTGAAAGATCATGTGGAACTCACGGCCTAGACACCTGAATAAAGTGTGGCACCATTTGTCACTTTCAGAAAATATGTTGTTTTACAGTCAAATAAAGGTTTAAAACTGAGCCTAAACACTTGGAAAAAATGGCATTTTAATGAACCCCCGAACTCTTTTTTAATTCTTAAAATTCTAGAATTTTAAATAGCCCTATCCAAGTTATGTCTAAGTATATGATATATACAAAAATACACGTATGATGCAGTCATTATACATTAGGAAAATTACTATTAATTTTTTATTAGACTGTTAAAATGCAAATTAACAAATCTAGTTCCAGGGCAAAAGGGGAAATGGAATTTAAAATGTCTTAAGTGGACTCCTAAGGTGGGGGAAACAAGGCTTGAACACCACTGAGTGAGAAGAGGGGTCCCTGAGACAAAGTACAGAGCCTGCAGGGAGGGAAGAGCATTCCCAAGGCCAGTCTCCAAGGGAAGAGGATCCACCCTCCCACCAGATCATGGAATCCCATGGCACCCTACAGGATTTCCCCTTGGAGTCATATGTTCTGGACTCCTGACAATTGGCATTGTGGCAGAACACCAGGAGACCTTTTCCTGTCTTCCTGAATCTTCTAAGACAGCAGTGTAGAGCAGTGGTCAAGTAGCAGGATTTTTCTTCCTCAGTAGAAGGCTGTCTTCCCTGGGGCCTCTCTAGTCCTCCATTACTCTCTGATAAAATGGCAGCCATAGCCAAATATTCACAGACCTTACAGTGCTGACACACAGTAGGCGTCATTGTGCTGACCTTCTTCTAGAAACTACCATGATGTCTCTGCCAGCTTTGACCAGCAAGGTGGGACTCTAGGGAATCATTTAACATAACTGAGCCGTGGCCTGGGAATGTGAATTGTCATTCTGAAGCATAGTTGGTTCATGCTAAGCTATGTGTATTATCCAGAGAGGGCTCTAGAATTTCTGTGGAGGAGGGGACTATGGGAAGCCACCTTGGGACAGGGTCTGAGGGTTCAACCTTAGTTGTCCCATCAGGTGTCTGTGTGGTCTTGTATTTTCAAGTGAATATAAGAAAATGAGTTTTGTTTCTGAATTTGAGGGCTGTGAGGGATTGTGGGAATTTGTGGACTGCTCTGACTGTTTGCACAGTAAGCCTTTGTATTGAAAGTTTATTATGTTAATTGAGAGTCTTTGGAGAATTAGGGGAACTTGGGGGTACCTCTGGCAATTATTTGCACAATAAGCTTCCATCTTAGATTGTATATTTATTGGATAGTTTTGAGAGATTGTGGGAATTTGTGGGCTTGTCTTCTATTTGCATGGCAAATCATTGGACTGAATGTTTATTAGTTAATGGGACATGTCAGTGAAGGATCATGAGAATTTATGGGTATATTTGTCTATCTACATAGCAAGTCATTGGGTTGAATATTACGTTGATTTAGGGGTCTGCAGTAGGTCTTTGGGTCAATGGGATTTGGGAGGTCTTCTGGGTATTTGTAGAGAAAGCATCCATTTTTGATTATATATTCATTGACTACTTTGGTAGGATTATGGAAATTTGTAGACGATCTGGCTATTTGTATAGTAAGCCACAACCTTGGAGGATTATGTTTATTGGATAGTTTTGAGGAATTGTGGGACTTTGTGGGTGTGTCTTCAAGCTATTTGCATACCAAGCCTCCAACTTAGATTGTGCATTTATTGGATAGTTTTGAGGGATTGTGGGAACTTGAGAAAGCTATCTTTTGGTTATTTGCATATCAAACAGCCATCTTGGGTTATATGTTCATTGGATAATTTTGAGAGATGTGGAAATTTGTAGGCCTATCATTGAGCTATTTGCATAGCAAGTCACTGGATTGAATATTATGATAATGGGAGGTGTCAATGGAAGACCTTGAGAATTTATGGGGGTGTCTTCTGGCTATTTGCATAACAGCCTCCATCTTAGACTGTGAATTTACTGGATAATTTTGAGGGATTGTAGGAATTTGTGGATGTGTCTAGCTGATTGCAAATCAAACCTCCACCTTAAATTGTGCAATTATTGAACAGTTTTGAGGGACTGTGGAAATTTTGGAGGGCGTGTCTTCTGGAGATCTGCATAGCAAATCTCTATCTTGGATTATGCATTTATTGGGTAGTTTGCTGGGATTATGGGAAATTATAGGTGTATCTTCTATCTATTTGCATCCCAAGCCTCCATCTTGGAGGGTATATTTATTGGAAAGCTTTGAGGGATTGTGGGGATTTGTGGGTGTGCCATCTAGCTATTTGCATATTAAACCTCCATCTTAGATTGTATATTTATTGGGTAGTTTTGATGGATTGTGGGATTTTTGTGGGGTTCTCTTTGGCTATTTGCATAGCAAACCCCCGTCTTTATTTCTATTGTATGTTTATTTGGGGGGGGTCAATGGAGGATAATGGAAATTTATGGGAGTGTCTTCTGGCTAATTGCATAGCAAGCCTCCATTTTGGGTTGCATGTTTATTGGAAAGCTTTGAGGGATTGTGGGAATTTGTGGGTGTGTCTTCTAGCTATTTGTATATTAAGCCTCTATCTTAAATTTTGCGTTTATTGGGTGGTTTTGAGGGATGGTGGGAATTTGTGGGCCTGTCTTTTGGCTATTTGCATAGCAACCCCCATCTTTATTTCTATTGTATTTTATTGGGGGGAGGTTAATGGAGGATTATGGGATTTATAGGAGTGTCTTCTGGCTATTTGCTTAACAAGCTTCCATCTTGGATTGTGCATTTATTGGACAGTTTTGAAGAACTGTGGGAATTTGTGGGCATGTCTTCTGGCTATTTGCACATCAAGCCTCCATCTTGGATTACATGTTTATGTATATATAAAATTTGAGGGACTATGGGAATTTGTGGGTCTGCCTTTTTGACTATTTGGATAGCAAGTCATGGACTGTTTATTGTATTTATTGTGTCTTTGGAAGATTATGGGAACTTGAAAAGGTCTTGCTATTTGCATATCAAGCCTCCATCTTAGATTGTGTATTTATTAGCTAGTTTGGAGGGATTGTGGGAGTTTGTGGGCTGCTCAGACTGTTTGCATAGCAGGCCCTTGGGTGGAATGTTTATTTTGGCTATTGGAGAGGTTGGAAGATTATAGGAATTCTTGAGGTCTTCTGACTATTTACATAGCAAGCCTCCATCTTGGATTATACATTTATTGGATAGTTTTGAGGGATTATGGGAATTTGTGGACTTGCCTGGACATTTGCATAGTAAACCTCTATCTTTACTTGGATTATAGGGTCACTTGGACAGTTTGGGGTTTAAATCTGCATAATCTAATTACAAGGTCAAGGCAATGTGATCTGGCTTTGGGAAGAGCTAGAGATAGAAATGGTAAGAGCTGCTTTTGTTGCCCTCCTTGGCAATCATTCTTGAGGTCAACCATACTAAAATTTAATCTGGCTGACTTAATTAATTTGGATAATAGAACAGCTAGTATATTTGGGGGTCTTGGCTATAAAATTAACTTGACTCATGCCTCATTTTGTCCATTTCAGAGGTATGATGTGTTAATGCTGGGTTCAACACTGGGCTCTTCCTTATATGGAAAGCACAAACTTGGGGAATGAGCCTGAAGGGCAAAGAAGAGGGTAGAGTAGATCTCAGTCCCAAGTCATAACCCAATTAGGCTTGATATTAGCCCCCCCAGTCTCCTCATCTCACCCCAATCATAATGATATCTTCTTTCATTGAGTGATGACACCTTGTTGTATTTGTAATTTTTATCTCCTTTAGCAATTGCATACTCATGTACTTTCCCCATAGTTTTGCTTATTGATTCCTCAGAACTCTTTACTTATTAGTCAATCCTGTTTATTTTACTCAGTCCCACACCCAGGATATTTTTGTATTTTTTCATTTTCTTATAGCCATCCCCTCCCACCTCCTTTATGGCAAGAACTAAAATTTTAATTTAGACATGTGTAATTAATCTGCACCCAATTCATCTTGGTGTGGGATGAAGTGGGAATGCTTTCAAATATTTCCCAAATAACTCCCATCTTCCCCACCCACAGGTAGACACCCCCCCACCTCACCCCACTCCCAGAGGAGTAGGCTGTTAGCCTCAGATGGGGAAGCAAGGGTAGCTAGCAATCTCTGCCTGAGGGAAAGATAAAGGGTGGAGACTTTGGTGGCCAAAGATTAGGGCCCACTGCCCCACCCCTCAATATACAGCAGTAAGTGTCACTCCACTTATAACCCTGGGACCTGTCCTTCACCTTAGAGGTTCACCCAGTTGGTGCATAGACCAAATCCCACCTGTAGACCCTGGGACCCACTCGGCGCAAATCAGTCAAGAGTGACATCATATTTTGCTCACATTTTATTTTTATTGATTTTTTAATGCTGCACAATACAATGTTTCATTTTGTATTTCATTTATTTCTTTATTTCTGTTTGTTGCTGCTTTTATTTTATTTACTGAAAGTGAGAGGGAACTTTTGTGGCCTATTTCTTTTTCTTTTTCTCTGTAGGCCGCCTTAAGCTTACTAAATTTGGAACATCTAAGCAAGCTGAAGGGAAGAGGGGTTTTCAGAATCACTGGGGAAAAAAAGGAAAGGTTGCGTTGTTAATCATGCCCTATGGTGGGTGATCAACTGCTTTTCAATTAAGTTTCACTCTTAATTAATTGTGCTTAAGGCTGAATTAAATTTGGGTGTTCCCTTCTTAGAGCAGCTCGTATTGGCGGAGATGCATGCGCTGGATGATGTCACGGCAGTCGTTGAAGACACGGCGGATGTTCTCAGTGTCCACGGCGCAGGTAAAGTGAGGGTAGCAATAGTGGCGCCCATCTCCACTAGCAGTGCTGATTCTCTGTGGGCGGAAGAGAGGCTCAGTCAGCAACCCTCTCTAGGAACCCCTCACCCCACCACGGTGGACCAGTCATTGATGGTAAAATAAAAAATGGAATGCTGGGATGGTTCAATCTCCAAATCCAGAACTGACTGGAGAATAACCATGAGAAATGAAGGACTGTAGATAAGTCCTACTTACCAGAAACTCATCTCGGATGAAGTACTTGGCCCGGGTCACGCGTGGGTCCTCTCCGGGCTCGGGAGTCGCTGCAAAAAAAGCCACAAATATTATTAATTATTCTAATTAGTTTAGAACCATTGTAGCCTATTTCCTAAACTCTTGATCTCAGCATATGAAAACGAGGTAAATGAGTGTCCCCGTTACCGCCCACTCACCATGGGAGGGGTAGGGACTCTTAGCCACACCCTTTGCCCAAGAACCACCTGCCCACATCAGTGCGGAGCACGTACCATCCTCAGGAGTGGTGTAGCGAGCGAACTCTGGAAAGTAGTCCTCAATCTTCGATTTCCCAGCGAGGACTTTCTCAGCAAGCAGGTCCTGCTTGTTGAGGAAGAGGATCACAGAGATGGTGCGCAGCCATCTGCGGAGAGAGAGCTGGGGTCAGAGCTGGGGCCAGAGCACACAGCAGACCTGCGGGGCGGGCTGGGAGACCCCACACACCTGTTGTTCCAGATGCTCTTGAAGAGGTTCAGAGCCTCCTGCAGACGGTTGGTCTGGTTGTCCTCCCGAATGACCATGTTGTAGCTGCTGCTGGCCACCACGAAGATGATGGCAGTCACATCATTGAAGCACTGGATCCACTTGCGGCGTTCGTCGCGCTGGCCGCCCACATCAAACATGCTGGAAGAGGAAGGACACTGGGTTACCCTGGGCCCACCGCTCTACAGCCAGAGTTAGGACTCGACAACCATTCATTCACTTACTGGAAGTTGACTTTGTCCACCTGGAACTTGGTCTCAAAGATTCCAGAGGTCAGGACGCGGCAGCGAAGCAGGTCCTAGAATAAAGAGCGGGTCAGTGATCCTCACCCTAATGGCCCGAGAAGGGGATCAGCAACCGGGAGCCACAGTCTTGAGGCCAGAGGCACACACATACCTGGTCGCTTGGCACGTAGTCGGCCTGCTTGATCACATCAATCTTGTCCAGGAAGCTTGGAAGAAAAGAGGACATGGTGGTCAGCACGTGTGTCAACTGTGTCCCCCACAAGGCAAACGGTGGACACACAGAAACAACGGACAGCAAGGTGGTGGCGGACGGGCCCTTGATTTTGATGTGCAAGGGAATTTTAAAATTTCAGCCCTTTCCTAAGCAAGGTTTAAGGGCGTAGAGGCCTCTGCTCCAGGGCAAACTGGACTGCTCTGGTTACTCAGAACCAGCTCTCCCTATCTACTTTGGAAGAATCTCATTGACTAAGGAGAAGCCAGCCAACAAAAGCTTCGGGCATCAAGGGGCCCTTCCTGCCCTCAGAACCCTAAAAAGGAAGAAAACACAAAGTTCCCTTCCTATCTATTGGGCCTGTGAAATAGAACATTTCAGACACCAAACTTTTAGTTTAAATAAAACAAACAAACAAAACACAATCTGGTGAGTGTTGCTTGACTCTAAACACAGTTAGGGAAATTAGCTTTTGCCTTTTGCAAGATTGGGATAATGTAATGTGGAAAAGTGATGTAGATGTTAACTTGGAGGGTTTTTTTTTTTTTTTTTTTTTTTTTTGGAGGGGGGGGTGGTTTGGGAACTGTTTTAAAGTATACTAAACTAGAAGAGAGAAATCTCAAAGGAGCAGGGTCTATTTAAAGAAATCCTTTAAGTTTTTCTTTTTTTTTTTTTAACTCCTTCCCCTTCCTTTTTACCAGTTCCGAGTTAGTCTGGCTTAGGGGATACACTAACTGGCCCAGTCAATCTTACATTACAGCACAGGCCCAGAAATAGCTCCCCAGCCACCCTGGCCTCCAGCATGTTGCCATGGCAACAGAACCACAATTCTATAAATAGATCCTTAGCACCAAATCTTGTGAGAAGACATCTGGAGTTGGGCCAGCCCAACTGCAGCTCAACAAACAGAGACCTGGCAGCTTAAGAAACGCCGAGGCCCAGGGCCTGCCCACGGAGGCCTTTAGACAAGAAACGGGCAGCCACTGTGCATTTGGGGCGGGCAGGCATCTTAGACAACTTTTTCTTGAAGTTTCTTTAAAAGTTTGCACAGTTGGTGCGCGCAGTCGAGTTTTCAGGAGTATGCTGTACTGCTTTTGACAACAATAAAAAGCTTTAAAGCAGTGTGACCCCAAAGAAGCTGGCTAAAATCACTGTTAATTAAAGAAACTGCCCCCTGCAATTCACCATGGGGTGGCTGAGACTCCTCGTCTTGTATCTGTACTTAACTCCTGAATTGGATCCAGAATACAGATCACAAACAATTCCAGGATTTCCATTTGTTTTGTGTTTCTATAATTAGTGCTTCCAGCTTTTAGTACAAACTTTTGAGAAAAATCAGGAACTTTGTTGAAGGAGGAGTGGGGGCTGGGGCCCATGGGGACTGTTTTTCAGTTCCTTGAAAGAACATATAACTTTGTGTATTAAACCGTGACATGCCTATATATGTAGCAACACTGAAAGTAACCAAGGAAGTCCCTGTGGAAAAGCTGGTCTAGGAAAGGGTCACTGCACCCACCTCCACCCCAAAGCAGAGGTGCTTTGTGCCTCATAAGGCACTGGCAAATAAAAATGTCTGTGTGTTTTTTTTATGACAGGACCATATTGTGTATGGCCCCAAATGCTTAGAGGTCATTTCCATTGAGTTACCATTGAGCTCACCACGAACACCACTTTACTACAAGTAATTATTGTCTTGCTCTAACAGGTATTAATTGTTTATGTAAAACATTATCAGTGTGCTATAAAATACAATTAAGAGCTTTATAAAACAAACGAATCAGGACTAGAACTTTCTGAGTGCTGGTGGGTTCGTAGTCTCCCTGTTTCTGTACACTTGTGTCTGTTTTGTGTGCGTGTGTGTGCACGTGCTAGTGGCTACTTACTACTGGGCACAATCAATCAGCTGGTACTCATTGGAGCGCTCGTAGCAGGCACGAACTCCCTCGTCCTCCCACAGAGCCTTGGCGTGCTCATAGAATTCCTGAAAGAGAACCCGGGAAAGACTGTTGGTTAAAAGACGCGCACACATACCAGCTGCACACATACCAATGGGAACCCTGCCCCTGGAACTCCCAGGCCACAGTTCACTGTGTGAGTTCAAGTGTGAGCCCTGCATGAATCAATGCATGGGAAGAACCTGCAGTCCTGCTAAACACTAAAAATCAGCGCAATTAATTTCATCTTTGGGGAGCACTCACAGTCTTTGGTGGCTGCTTCTGTTACTTTTGTGGGGGTGGGGGCAAATAAATGATTGAGTAAACTTTTTTCCCCAGAATTGTTTGTGTAGGAAGAATATGTACTATCTTGTGTTAAAAGCATAAGCCAACACTAGTATCAGGTGTCAATGGCACCAGATGCATTCTGGGTAGGCTGCCATTTTGTCTTCTGTTAGAGACACACATCATGGGAGCTAGAGGCTTGTATTATCCATGCTGTGTTTCCCACTTGACTTCTTTTTTAAATCAACAGGTATTTTTAAAAAATTACCTGACTATACTAATTTCCCTCATAAGTTGGTAGTCAAAAGCCATTAAAAATACATAAACCCCCACAGAAGTCTAAGGGGGCAGTAACAGCTTAATTGGAGACAAGTCTCTCTTTCCGGCTTGAAAAATCTTTTTCCCCACAAAGGGTTGAAATGTACATGCTTGACATGGGGCAGTTCTACCCTCTAAAAATAGCTTTGAGGAAGCTAAGAGACCCTTGTCAAGAGGGTCAGGCTCCCAGGCAGAGGCCTGAAGAGGAACATCTTATTTCCTGTAATGTTCCATTTTGTGATTTATGTTTGGATCGGAACATTGGAAAGCACATATCTGTGCTCAGCGTCCCAGTGTCTTAGGACACTTGTTTGGACTGACTGGACAATTAGGACTCTTGTGCCATGTGCAACATGCAGTGTGTCTTCATGTGTATGAGGGGAATTAAGGCATGTGAAGTTTGCTTGTGAGTCAAGTAAACTGAGGTCCAGAAGAGGCGACAGAAGTCTGCTCATGCATTGTGGACAAAGCCCCAATGTCTTATCTGTCTTAGTACTGAGCGGACGCTTGGAATGAACTTATTCGTTCACATGGCTAATGTGTGTCTGGTCAGTCCTGCCTACGTGCAAGCTTCTCCCTTGTTTTCCCACAGGCCTTGCTCATGCTCAGGTGGTGGGGAGGGAACCAGAGTTGGGGTGAGGCTTACAGGTGGAAAGTCAAAGTTGGGCACGTTCATCACGCTCAGAATGTAGTCCACACGGAACTGGTTCTCAGGATTGGCCAGCTCCACAGGGGGCACCAGGTTGCTCATGGCGGCCACGATGGTCTGAAAACAGTTTAGCAAAATGATCAGGGGGCAGCACCATGGGAAGAGGGGGTTGCTAAAAGGTACAGTCAGGGGCTGGGCACATACTTCAATGGCCTCCTTCAGGTTGTTTTTGATGTCCTGCACCTTGGTGGCCTTCTCACTACAGTGGAATTGAAAAGAAAAAAGAAAATCATATTGCATCCTGCCCACCAAGGTGTCACCTTCATCGAGACATGGCAACTAAAAAGCATAGTATTCTGTTCTCCAAGGAGTTGTGGGCTCAGATCTGTAGAGATTGGGGGAATTATAATTTCCCGAACATGTCCTGAGGACACGCCCAATGGGGGCAGATTAGTCATGTGGCATCGAGATCTTGATCGACTGTACCAGAAATTGCACCTTGTCCACCTGCTAGTCTAACCACACCTAAATGCTTCCTGAGTGGCCCCTTGACTAGGAACACATTGGGGTGGTGTGGAGGTAGGGTTAGTGCACATTGGACTTAGGATTCAGTATGTTATGCACCCCAGAGGTGCTTATTATAGATGTTAGGGCTTCCCATTCCCATATATTTCTTTGTAGATTGATCCTTTATTTAAATAGCTGTGAACCTATCACAGGGAGAAGACAGTGTTATGGGGAGATGGTGTTTGGGTACTGTGGCTCACAGAACTTTTGTTTAACTATGTTAATGCACACTGGCCTCCAGTGTGATTAGGTCCCCACGTTATTGGTAGGCATGGGGTTCATGTACATTGGAGTAGGAGTTGGCTAAATGGTTCATGGCTTATTTCAGCCAGTCCTTGAGTTAGCCTACGTGACCTTTCTGGGATGATCTGCATGCAGTGGGAGTCACTGACCCTACAGGTGAAGGTCACAACCTCTGCTATGGGAGGTGGGTGGTGTCCCCCAGACAGAATGTTAATTTATGGAGGTTACAGTGATTCATAATGCTGTGTCTTTTAGGAGACAGTCTTTATGCCAGACACAGCCATAGGGAACCATGAGTGTGTCTTTAGGGGTACCAGCAAAGTCCCCTTTGCTTGGAGCAGATTTCTTCTTGTCTTCTGCATGTGTAGTGGGGGATTAGAGGATCAGCATGCACAGCACTTGCAGGGTGTGAGGCCTGATGGCACAGAACAGGACATGGAGAGGAGCAGGCTGTATCTTTCTAATGGGGAAACTGAGGCAGAGGGCTGGGGTGGTAGTGACAAAGGTAGGACAGAGCTGCTTTTGCTGATGTTTATGATTAAAGGCACAAGATGGAGATAGTTAAACCATCCCTCTTCCTAGGAACAGGGCAGAATACTAATTAGCAGGGATAAAAGATGGGGACCAGCAGCTACTATAGGCAGGAGGGGTGGGAGGTGGGCCTCAGACGGGGATCTGGGAGTCATGTGCATGCCCACCAGCAGGGAGGGATCTGGGGGTCATGTGTATGCCCACCAGTAGGGCAGGGATCTGGGAGTCATGTGTATGCCCGCCAGTAGAGCGGGGATCTGGGGGTCATGTGCATGCCCGGCAGTAGGGTGGGGTCTGGGGGTCATGAGCATGCCCACCAGTAGGGAGGGGATCTGGGAGTCATGTTCATGCCCACCAGTAGGGAGGGATCTGGGGGTCATGTGTATGCCCGCCAGTAGAGCGGGGATCTGGGGGTCATGTGCATGCCCGGCAGTAGGGTGGAGTCTGGGGGTCATGAGCATGCCCACCAGTAGGGAGAGATCTGGGGGTCATGTGCATGCCCGGCAGTAGGGCGGGATCTGGGGTTCATGAGCATGCCCGTCAGTAGGGGGAGATCTGGGTCATGTGCATGCCCACCAGTAGGGCGAGGATCTTGGGATCACATGCATGCCTACTAGAAGGGAGAGATCTGGGGGTCATGTGCATGTCTGCCAAAGGAGTGGGGGAATCTGGGGGTCATGTGCATGTCTGTCTGTAGAGTGGGGACCTGGGACTCATGTACATGCCTACCAAAGAGGTGGGGGGATCTGGGGGTCATGTGCATGCCTATGGAAGGGGTGGAGGTCTGGGAGTCATGTGCATGCCTACCAATGGGGTATGGAATCTGGAGGTCATGTGCATGCCCATCAAAAGGGTGTGGGTGGAGATATGCAGGTCATGTGCATGCCTATCAAAAGGGTAGGGGGATCTGGGGGTCATGTGTATGCCTACCAAAGGGGTGGGGGGATCTGGGGGTCATATGCATGCCTATCAAAAGGGTGGGGGGATCTGGAGGTTGTGTGCATGCCTACCAAAGAGGTGGGGGAACTGGGGGGTCATGTGCATGCCTATCAAAGGAGTGGGGGGATCTGGGGGTCGTGGGCATGCCTACCAAAGAGGTGGGGGGAATCTAGGAGTCGTGGGCATGCCTATCAAAGGGGTGGGGGGATATGGGGGTCGTGTGCATGCCTACCAAAGGGGTGGGGGGATCTGGGGGTCGTGGGCACGCCTGCCAAAGGGGTGGGGGGATCTGGAGGTCATGTGCATGCCTGCCAAAGGGGTGGGGGGATCTGGAGGTCGTGTGCAAGCCTGCCAAAGGGTGGGGGAATCTAAGGGTCATGGGTATGCCTATCAAAGAGGTGGGAGGATCTGGGGGTCATGGGCATGCCTATTCAAAGGGGTGGGGGGATCTGGAGGTCGTGTGCATGCCTGCCAAAGGGTGGGGGAATCTAAGGGTCATGGGTATGCCTATCAAAGAGGTGGGAGGATCTGGGGGTCATGTGCATGCCTATCAAAGGGGTGGGGGGATCTGGAGGTCGTGTGCATGCCTATCAAAGGAGTGGGGGACCTGGGGGGTTCATGTGCATGCCTATCAAAAGAGTAGGGGGATCTAGGGGTCCTATGTATGCCTATCAAAGGATTGGGGGGACCTGAGGGTCATGTGCATGCCTATCAAAGGAGTGGGGGGATCTGGAGGTCATATACATGCCTGCCAAAGGGGTGGGGGTATCTGGGGGTTGTGGGCATGCCTGCCAAAGGGGTGGGGTTATCTGGGGGTTGTGGGCATGCCTACCAAAGGGGTGGGGGACCTGGGGGGGGTCATGTGCATGCCTATCAAAAGAGTAGGGGGATGTAGGGGTCCTATGTATGCCTATCGAAAGGTTGGGGAGATCTCGGGGTCATGTGCATGCCTATCAAAGGGGTGGTGGTATCTGGGGGTCGTGGGCACGTCTGCCAAAGGGGTGGGGGTATCTGGGAGTCATGGGCATGCCTGCCAAAGGGGTGGGGGGATCTGGAGGTCGTGTGCATGCCTACCAAAGGGGTGGGGGGATCTGGGAGTTATGGTCATGCCGATCAAAGAGGTGGGGGGATCTAGGAGTCGTGGGCATGCCTATCGAAAGGGTGGGGGGATCTGAGGGTCGTGGGCATGCCTACCAAAGGGTGGGGGGGATCTAGGAGTCATGGGCATGCCTATCAAAAGGGTGGGGGGATCTGGAGGTCATGTGCATGCCTACCAAAGGAGTGGGGGACCTGGGGAGGTCATGTGCATGCCTATCAAAGGAGTAAGGGAATCTAGGGGTCCTATGTATGCCTATCAAAGGGTTGAGGGGATCTGGGGTCATATCTATGCCTATCAAAGGGGTGGGGGTATCTGGGGGTCATATACATGCCTACTAAAGGAGTGGGGAGATCTGAGGGTCATGTGCATGCCTATCAAAGGAGTGGGGCGGGGACTTAGGGGGTCATTTGCATGGCTGCCAAAGGGGGTGGCGATCTAGGGGCTATGTACATGACTGCCAACAGGGTGGGGCTATGGGGGTCATGTGCAGGACCACCAATAGGCCCACACCCAAAGAGCCCATTCTTTCACAAAGAGTTGTTAACAGGTGATATTTGAATAGGGTTTTCTTCTTTCCGTGTAGGCTTATGCATTTGGGGAGTGGGCTCTGTGTTCTGAATGATCTCACTATATACTTTTATGGGGGTTCATTTCTTAGGTGGCTCCTAGACATTGATCTTCCACAGTAGGTAAGGGCCTGCAAGGTTTAGGGGTTGTGGATGTTCTCTCATCAGCAGGAGGGAGGGGCTGAGGGCTAAGTTACCAGGATGTTGACGTGGCCTTGACAGTGGGAGATCAGAACTCCACGCCCACAGGAGGAGGGCAAGCTGCCTCTCTCTCCAAACCCACCACCCGGAGACCAGGAAAAGGAGACAGGAGGAAGCCCTAAGGCCCCATGGCCACTGCAGGCTGGAGGGGTTGTCCTAGGGCTGGGGTGGTCATGGCACATAGGCTTGGGGGAGGGGGCAAACACTTGGGATGTGGGAGTTGTGTACACCCTAAAGCTTCCTGGGGCCCTCAGACTCTTAAACGTCTACCACCCCGTATTTAAAGGCATGGGGTTTCCACCCCTCAGAGGGACTGGATCTCTTAGGGTGGGGAGGAGCGCCGCCGTTCCAGCCCTGGTGTCAGACTCTGAGACCAGTTATGTAGGTGTCAGACTAAAAACACGTGTTGGATGCCCCTAATACTCCAATTTAGAGTTTACAGTGAGCCTCCGCTAGCCTGCCCTGGGACAAATCTACTCCCAGTTTTTTAAAAAAGGGTTTCCAGCCATTGGTACTGAGAGCCCCAAATCTCTGGTTTTAAGGCCCCACAACAGAAAAAATGAGGTTATCTGGGTATTAACTACTCCAATCAACCTACAGGTAGAAGGAAGCATTTCCCCAGGGAAGATTCCTCATTCAGTTTGATATTTTTTTCTAAGTAGTAGTATGATAATTGGAAAGCTTCCAGTCTTAAAATACAGATATTCTGAGAACGTGTTCAGTATTCATCTACGTATGTGAATAGGTGTGGGAGTGTATCCAGTATAAAACAGCTAAAATAGAAAATCTACAATCTAATTCTGGTGTGTAGTACTAAAACAAAACCTCTCCATTGAAGAGATTACTATGTAGATGGAGCCGTCATAACGGGGGCTGGCAGGTTTACCCTCCATTGTAATACCGCTTAATGAATTTAACGTTGATTGTGAAATTTAGAGAAAATCCTTTAGATGTCTCTAAACTACATGTGCCAGTTCCAGGGCTCTGACTGACTAGCAAGTTGGGGCTGGAGGTCTCTATAGGATGTTGTTCCCCTCTCCACACCCCCATCCCATCCCCCAGGATGCAGCTCCGACACACCCCCACCCCACCCCCAGAAAAGTGTAAGGCAGACAGATTAGTGGGGTTAGCATTTTTAGTAAGTCCTGCCCCCTCCCTTCTGTTAAGTGGTAGGGAAGGCTGTGTGGTCCCCATCCTCCACTTCTACACCCTATCTTTGTGCTTGTGGGAGAAGACAGACAAAAGAGGAGACAGAAGACAGACTCAAGATACAGGGATTGCTGAGACATGCAGAGAATTTTATTTATCAGGAATGTTAATACTGATTTTTACTTGTAGAGTAGAGTCATAGGAGGAAAGGCGTGCAGGTAAGGTATTAGTAGGGTTGAAAGGTTGAGCACGACACACAATACATAGGTAGGCTCTCTCAGTAGGGCTTGCCACATTTCTCAGATGCCAACTTTTGGTACAGCAGATACTCAAACTATTGATGCCTTTTCTGATTGCTGTTCTACTACACTGTTGCCAATTAAGGATTTCATTTCATCTTTCTGTTTTCACTTATATCTAAAGGTTAGGTAATAGGTAGGGACCCCACCCCCTCCCCCCAGACAACAGAATAGTATTCTTATTAGTTTCCTAAGACCGGGCAGTTCAGCATGCAAATTGGGATAGTTGGGAGAGGACATAGCGAAGAAGATGGAGGACTGTGGCCATCATCTAGTAGGGGTAATATATTCTAAAAGAAACAGATGAACAAACACGTGTCAGTCACTTTGTTCCCGACCCCCGTGTCCTTTGACCCTCCCGTGCCCGGTCTCAGAAGCCATTTCTTTTCGATGTCCTAGACTAGAAGCTGTTCTATGAATTGACATGAGAATAGCCGCTCCGTTCTGCATGCTGAGTGACCGAATGGAGCTGGATGGATGCCTGGCATGCGTGTGCGTGTGTGTGCAGGCATGAGATGGTTGTGGAGATGAGAAAGCAAAATAATAAACAATGACAATGTGTGGGGTGCCATCACAAATGCTCTTGTTCATTAGTTGATGTAAAGTGCCTTGAATTAAAATTTAAAATTTTTTTAAATAATTTTTTATGGCCAGAGGTGTCAAGACAGTTGTCACGATGGCCTGCCGCAGAGTGACACGGCGTTAGGCATATATTTTCCCCCCAAGATAAAAAACTAGGCAGCAATGAATATTTTTAATTGAGGAAATTTTTTTTTTTCCCAAAGAGTACTAAAATTTTAAGGTCAGACTGACCACCGCGTGGACAGAATTTAATGATTTAAATAGAGAACCGGAGGAAATAAAGACCATATGGAAAGCATCGAGTCTCAAAATCTTAAACTTTCCTCAGAGGCTGAGATGGCCAACTTTCCCCCAGCTGTATCTAGTTATCCTTGGGGCCAAAACATTTTCTGTTTTGCACTTTACTTGTTTACATGTCATTTGCAAATGCACACCAAAATGGCTGATGGCCCTGAGATGATTGCTGTTTTGCTTCCCAGCCTAGTCCTCAGTTTCCCCACTAGGGTCTTCATGTTTGTTTTGTTTGTTAGGAGAGTTTTTCTGGTTTGGAATGTGCCTACCCATCGCTGTTGCTCCTTGCAGCCTGCGGGTCCTCTTCGGCGCCCCTTGTAAAGAGAGATTGAAAGCTCACCTATCTGCAAGGCACTGCAGTTCCACACAAACCCCACACAGCCTCGGCATCCCTAAATAACCAGGTAAGAGCCACCTGACAGTCCTGTGCACCATCCTCCCAGTTACTTCTTAGGTCGCTTTCCTGACTAAATGGGAATGTCTACTGAGACTGTAGGCCGTAGGGGGAAGTGCTCCACACTTTCCTCGCTGCATTAGAAGGGCCCTCAGGAGACTCAGGCTGGAGACAGGAGGGACAGGTAATTATTTTCCTCTGCTTTCACTAAATGCACATGCACCAGGGAGCTGAGGCAGAGCCTTGTCACCGAACTCTTGAGAATATGGCATTTCAGAAGGCTCCTGACCCTTGTTGGCCGCAGATCTTCTCCGTGCCCACAAAAGCACAAATGGGACATTCCTGTTCCTGATTTCCTGGTACAAAATGAATCACCTTTCTGTAGTGGTGGGAGCTATGTATGGGACATTAACACTCACCTTTGTAATCGATTAGCTCAACCAATGTTAATTCTTCCTGGCATTAAACTTCAGGAAGTTAGCTCTGAGTTAGGAAAATCTACATCTGACCTCTGTATTTCTGAAGGTCAAATTAACATTACGTTATACTCTTTAAAAAGGTAATGGCAGGCAGGCAGGCCACAGTTAATAGCTCAGTCCAAGAAGAGCGTGTGGTGTTGAGACCACCGTACAGGAATTTCTAGTCAAGATGGGACAGCATTGAGTGCAATACCACAGTGAGAGATCCTTTGAGGCTTAGCTGGACCAGGTCAAAACAGTGAATCCAGCCCCTCATGGAGGCCCCGAATATCACTTTCACAGGCTAAATTTATCATCGTGGATATCCACAAAGAAGGCAAACTGGGAATGTCTCTTCCTCTTTTCAGAGAGAAAATAGAAAAGAGAAGTTCTGGTTTAGAACCCTCAGCTGCATTAACATTTAAGGAGAATTGGTTCTTTAAAAAAATAAGATTTTAGGGAAATTTGTAAAGTAATAAAACTTGATAAGAATGACATTGCTTCCATCTGATTCAACTTAAACAGTGGCTACTGCATCTTTTAAAATGCTAGCCACGACCAGATATTTTTGATGAAATATTTTGAGGTTCATGGCCGGATTATGTTTGCTTAACTAGCCTCATATTGAAGAATCCCTCACATCGGGGGTGGGGTGTTTTCGTATTCTTTTTGTTGATGGACAGGTGCCAATCTCCTTGGTTAGGCTTTTTGAGAAGGGCATATCAGGAATTAAGAATTCCAGAATTGGTTTCCTGGGTGACAATGACTTACTTAATAGGTTATAGGTGCATAGTAGTCATTGCGTCAATCCTAAAATTAGTGAGCTAGCCCCCTCCCTCCTGAATATTAACTAATAATCTTTGAATTTAGGGCTATAATTTAAGGAGCACATGAACCCAAACCCTTCGCATGGGTGATGTCATCTTTTTCTAACCCGATTAGTCAATCTAACAAATTCTAGAAGTTTCCATGAAGAGCAGCCTGTGGCATCCTGAACAGTGCTGTTCAATTTTGTTTCCCCAGCCCTTAGTGCGTGGTAGGGGACAGAAGCAGGTGCCCTTCCCTGGAGTGGTTAAAATACAACCAAGGGACAGATTTCCAACCGAATCAGGATGAAGAAAGGGGGTGGGAGTGTTAACTTGCTAGTAATTGCAAACTAGTGCCTGTGAGTGTTAACTAGCTAGTAATTGCAAACTAGTGCCTACCGGTGCTTTTCATCCAGAGTTTAACTAGTGAAAACAGAGCCCAAGGGAGCAAACTTAACCTGTCTCACGTCATCACTGAGAACAATGGAGGCCGAGCAGAAAAGGCAAATTCCCTAATTTATTGAGTGTTTCCTCAGTTTGCATTCTTCATGGAAAGCAGGAACCCATATTTGCCTCGTATGGGTCTCTCTCTCTTTAAGAAGAATCTTTATTCTCACTGCAGTATTGTGTCGCCATATTGTCTTAAGCCAGGAAGGTCATTTCAAAGGCAAAGCGCCCCCGGGACTGGCCAGAAGTAGCTAGCTCCCTGCCTTTCCATCATTTTCACACTCTTTTCAATTGTTTAGGTAGGATTTTTCCTTTTTAAAATTAGAGAAACAATTATTTGCCTATCATATTAATTCTACGGGGGCGAGGGGCGCAGAAGCTTGAAGCTTGCCGGCAGTGGGGCCACGGATTCCAACTTTTAAGTAAGAACATAACTGCAATGATGTTTCCTGATAATATAAAAGCCTGCACCAGTTTACTCCAGTGGAACCCGAAGGGTGGTGGGTGGGGACCTCCTGTGCTGGCCAGCTCTGGCTGGACAAGGGGTGGCCAAGGCCCCGTCGGCCATCTTGGAGCCGCACTGCAGCAGACGAGGCTGCGGCAGAGGACCTAGCCTCAGAGACGCTGTCACCCGGCCAAGTGCTGTTCACTGTCCTCTGCAACCAGGCACCATTTTCCAGCTCGAGGGGCCGCTTTGGGTAGACACCGGTGCTTTTACTGTTATCCCTATTGGTTGCACCAAAGGTTGAGAAGAGGGTGGGAGAGCACCCATCAGCTCTTTCCTGGGCTGTCTACTATGCAAATTAGAAAAAAAATAATTAGTGGCAAATAGCAGCTGTGCTTCCTAGAGGTTAGTATGTATACACACTCTGTCAAAAGTCCTGCAAACTCCTACGGGCAGGTACTTGCCACGCCTGCTCAGCGCCCTGCATGGATTTGACACTTACTCTCCGTTAAACCCATTAACATGCAGGATCCTCATCTGCTTCACAATCGTGCTCTTGCCAGACTCTCCAGCACCTGAGAAGTAAAGTGAGGGCTTGGGTTAAGAGAGAGGCTTGTCACACTTCACCTGGATGATGGCCTGGGAAAGCAGCAAAGCAGCACACAACAGACACACAGTGACACAACTGCCATTTTACTTGATGTGACGACGCAGTGAAAAACAAAGACATGTCCAACTTAGTGTCTACCTGAAGTATCTCACCATAGAGTAACAAGCAAGATTTAAGGGCTCTGCTGGCTTTAGATAGCTTTTCTTTTCTTTTCTTTCTTTCTTTTTTTTTTTTTTTTTTTGAGTTTTGCTGTTGTTTTATTTTGTTTTCTCCTTGGGTTTTAAAAATCATGAGATGAAGGAATGACGTAATTGTCATTGGAGGAGTGAAAAATTTAAGTCAAAAATATTGAAATGTGGTCAAAGGTACACAGAAATGCAGCAGCCACCTAATTTCCTGTTTGTTGAATGTTTTATGGTTAAAATACTCAGGACTGGCAGACAATGCCTAGACACTGCAGTCTCCCCCACATCACGTCCCCCTGCAGCACTGCCCTCCCAGCACCAATGCAGGGGCTCCCTAGCATGCTTCAAGTCCACCCCTAAAAGCACTGCTACATTGTATTCACTTATTCACTCCCTTTCCCTTCAGAAGCAATCTTTCTAAAGATACTTTTTTCTGGATACAACTTGCTGAGGGAAATGGAAGACCATCAATTATCTGTCAGCAGCAGGGGGAGAAAAGCAAAAAAAAAAAAAAAAAAAAAAAAAAAGCAAAAAACAAACAAAAAACACACAGTTTAATATCAAACATGGCACTTGAGACCTTATTAGCATCAGGCAACATGCAACATCAACAGTCAAGAATTTTTCAAAAAGGATGACTTTAATTATATGCACAAATATTCCTGGAAACCCCTAAATTGGAAGATTCTAGACTTTTCCCCAACTAAAGGAGTAAAAAGGGGCACCACCCTCCACTGAGCACCCCCTCCATTTGAAATCACCTTTTGTTTGCTTTTTAAAAGTAACATTTTATAGACACCCCCCACCCCGCGCCCCATTTCCATCAAGTTAGAGGGATGATAGCTATTCTGAATTTTTTTTGCAATCAGTATTCCCTATGTGAATGGTTTTCCCCCTCCTCCCACATGCATCTCAATGTTTTTAAAAATCTCTTTCTTTTTAATTATATTGGTTTTGTTTTGTTACCCAGATAACAAAGCTCCCCACCCCTTTACCTTTCCTCAAGGCTATAATCAATATCTGTAAAAGTTAAAATTGGTTTCCACAGAAGCATTGATTTCAAAGCAAACACCATCCTAACGAACAAAACTCTCATAAATTAAATATAAAAGGCACTATAGGGAGGTTTCCATGAAGGGAACACAGAGTACTAATCAGGATCCTCAGTATTCTAATCTTAGAAATGTCAAAAATTATGACAACTTTTTTTTTTATAAGAGAACTAGACCCGTGCCTCAGTTTCCACATTAGTGAGAAGAGAAAATTGGGCTTAAAATAACTGTGAGGGATTTTTGTGGTTCTGTAACTTACTTAATTTACATGGCAAAAGTTAAAAATGGGCTAAAGAAAAGGGGAGTGGGGAATTAGGTTTCCTTTGTGGGAGAATTATTTCATTTTAAGAAATGCAAAATGTTGCTAATGGCCAGGGCAACAGATTTCTATGCCAAAGGTCATTAATTAATTGTGGCACAATGCAGCCATGTAGACTAGGAGACTTGAGAAGAGGCAGGGTGGGCTCAGAACAATAGTCTCAAATAAGTGGGGTCACTTGAAATCACTGTAAAGACACAAAAAAAAGGTGTTAGAAAATTAACGTGTCATTAACATCATCCTGGAGTTAAATCACATAAGCAAGAATGCACCATACAGAAGATTCTAGACTTTTCCAGGTGTGTACTTTGAAATCAAAGTGTGGCATATTAATATTTACAGCATAATTATGCCTTCAGAAGTTTTAGATTCCACTTTTATATCCTCTAATTACTAAAATTGCAAATGCACCAACACCAAAGAGAATTATTTTCACTTGCTAATAATTTTCTGCTTTACTAAATCTGGCCCAGGGAGAACAAAGACTTGACCCCATCCAAAAAGATCAAACCGAACGCCACCACGAATGAAAACAGCCTCCTACATTTTATTTTTGATAACTAAAACTACTTCGTTGAAATGCGACCATGCTCCCAGAAAATTCACAAATTTATTCAGATATCCCAAATACCAAGTGGAAAGCTTCCATCCTAATTAATGCTGTGTGATGGTCATTTTGACAATTTTGCGTGTGTCTGTGTGCCTTTGTTGCCCCCCACCCAGCACCTTAAAAGAAAAAAGGGAGACAATCTTTAGTTTGGGGACCCCCCCTTCCTTTCTTTTTTGCCAAGGAGGAAAAGACGCAGGGAAAAAAGAGAAGAAAAATCAAACAACCAAATGCCACTTGATAAACAACTAATTAATGTCTTTCCATTAGGTTCCACCCAGGAAAGTCTTCCCAGGGCGCTTATTCCCCCCTCCCACCTTGAAAAGGACAAAAATTTTAAAAACGCCATTTCGAAACTAAGAAGCCATTTACAGACAAATGTCATTTTCCAGTTTTGTCTTATTTATGAGTCTTTTAAAATTACGTTATTTTATTTTTCACTTTCGTGTTTTCACTCTCAAGGAGGCCGACTAACAGGGAAATGTGTGTTAATTGTCTGTTGCACAGGTCAGGGCACAGCTGGGGGTGAGGGGGGGCAGCTGCTACCATTTAATGCTCTGCTTTGCTTTTCAAAAAGCCTGCAAGTCTAGAAGGGGGGAAAAAGGTCACAGTGTAATATGACGTGTCATTTGGCTTCACTGAGCACTTTGCGTACTGTTTTTTTTTTTTTTTTTAATTTTTATTTTTTGGTCTTATTTTACTTATTTGATTCTCCTTCTCTTCCTTCCACGGCCTGGCCTGGCCCAGGACACGTCTGCTCCGCGCAAAGTCGGTCCTGCCCGAATCGCCCCGAGTCGCGCCCAGAGTCCGCCACGCTCCCTCCTCCCTAACCCCCCCCACTTCGGCGCCACGACTAGCCTGCGCCCCCTCCCCCCTCTGCACCACCTTTACCGCCCTGTCCTTTCCGAGGGGCTGATGTCACTCGCCCCTCCACCCCCGGCGGCCACTTCCCTCACCAGAGCCTCCCAGGCCGAGGCCCCCGAGTCCCCCCTGTTGCCCTTGCCTCTCTTTGGGCCCCCTCCCAACAAATCGCACTCCCCAGTGAGGCGGGTCCCGCTCCCTGGGCCCGCCAGCCCGTTTCCTGTCCTCAGCCCTACTCTGTCGCAGTCAGAGGGGCCCCGTGAGCCTCCCCTCCCCCTCCCGACACGCACCCCGGCCCCTGGCACCATGTAGGCCTCGCGCAGACATGGAGCCAGGGGGGGGGGGGTGCGGACAGCTAAGGGGACGAGACTGAGCAAGGGGGACCCACGCCCTGTTTGCAGCCCCCGCCCGGCCGAATTTCGCCCAGGGGTCCCCCTGACGGCCTCGCCCCCCGCACGCACACGGCCCAGCGGGCCAAAGGGCCGGGGAGAGAGCGCCAGAGCGCCAGGGCGAGGGGCGGGCTCGGCGCGCGCGGCCTTGCGGGTGCCCCGAGGGGCTCCCAGGCCGGGCCGGCGCCCCCCGCCCCGCCCTTACCCAGCAGCAGCAGGCGGTGCGTGGCCCGGTAGACCTGCTTGTCCTTCTGCAGCTGCTTCTCGATCTTTTTGTTGGCCTCGCGCTGCGCCTTCTCCTCGTTGCGCTGGTCCTCGGTCTTACTGTTACCGAGACAGCCCATGGCGGCGGCGGGGCGCGGCCGGGCTGCGGGGCGGCGGGGACGGGGCGGGCGGCCTCAGGCGGGCCGGGAAAGCGGGGAACAAGGGGAGGGTGGCGGCTCGGACTAAGGCAAGCGCGCAGCTCTCGGCTCCTCGCTCCGGGGCCGAGGCGGAGCAGAGCAGGAGCCGCGGGAGCTGCTGCCGCCGCCGCCGCCGCCGCCGCTCTTATTGCCTCGGCCCGGGCCCGACGCCCCGACCCAAAAGCGCCACGGCGGGCGGGGGGAGCGGGGGGAGGCGGAGGCGACGGCGGCGAGGGGGGTGGAAAGAGGAGGAGGAGGAGGAGGGCCGCGGCTAGGAGGGCGGGCGCGGGCGCAGGGAGGCGGTGCCCGGAGGCCGGGCAGGGGTCCCTGCACCCAAGTCTAGCCCGGGCCGGGATGCACAGGGGGGTCGCCTCCTCGCCCCACCCGCGGCTTGGGGCCGGGGCCTGACCGTGCGGCGGGGGGAGAGGGGGCGGCCCCGCGGTGGTGACGACCCCTCACACGATGCCAGCGCTCCACCCCCGGGCCGGGCGGCCCGGATCCCCCTCCTCCTGCAGCAGGGCGGGCGGGCGCCGCCAAGGGGCCGGGGTGGGCGGAAAGGGAGGGAGCGCGGGGCCCGGTCTTAGGAAAATTTCGAAAAGGAGAGAGAGAGAGAGAGAGAGAGAGAGACACTGAGAGAGCCAGAAAGCAGGGAGTGTGCAGAAAAGCGAGGAAAGCACGAAGCACAGGACAGAGCAACCGAAAAGGAAAATGTGTCCACACACAAGCACTAATAAAGATCCACACTACACAGCAATGGTGGTGGAGGTGGAAGGTGGTGGTGTGGTGTGGTGTGGTGGTGGTGGTCGTGGTGGTGGTGGTGGTCGATGTGGATGATGATGATGGTGGGGGGGTGAGGGGGGTCTGACTAGATGAGCCGCTCGTCGCGCCCCCGGCGCCCGGTGCCCCTGGCCCGGGAGCGCCCTCGGCCTCTGCCTCTGCGCTTGGTGCGGCCACTCAGGAAGGAGAAGAAGGCGCAGCCCAGGAACACTCGGAAGCAGCAGGTCGCCCCGAACACGAAGCCACAGCCGCGGCCCTGCTCTGTGCGTCGCTGCAGCAGGAAGTTGAGCACCCACGAGGGGCTGCGCACCGAGAACACCAGGAACACCACGAGGGGCATGTGCGCGCTGAGCGCTCCAGCCTTGTCAGGCCCGGGGCGCCACACGACGCCTCCAACACGAGGAGGCGCGTAGTAGGCATCATCTTCGTCGCCCGACTCAGTGTCCCATCGGGCCCAGGCCCTACTCGCGCCCCCGCCGGCGGCGCCCTCTCCGAGCCCGGCGGCGCCCTCCGCGGCGCCCTCGTCTTCGCCTGCGGTGGCGGCGGCGGCGGCGGCGGCCTCGGGGCCTCGGGCCTGCGCCTGGGATTCTGGCACATTCTTCTTCTTCTTCTTCATCATCTTCTCCAACTTCTTCCTCTCTTTCTCTCTCTTCTTCTCTTCTTTTTTCCTCTGCTCCAGCAACTTCTTCTCTAGCTTCTTGCGCTCTTTGTCTGTCAGCAACTTTTCGGGCGGCACATCTCGCCCGGCGTTCGCGGGGGCCTTGACGGCCTTGGACTTGGGGGGCTTCTCCGGGTCCCCGTTCTTCTGCGAAGCGAACGGCTCTGCCAGCGCCGCAGCCGCCACGGCAGCTTCGGCAGCCACTTCGGCGGCAGCCGCGGCTGCCTTCCTCTCGCTCTCGGCTGCTCGGGCTTTGAGCTTCTTGGCCATCTTCAGCATGGTGACCCGGCCACCTCGGGGAGCTTGGCTCGCGCCTGGCCCGGGCGGTCTGATTGGCCCCGGCCTCGGGCTTCCCGGCTCCTGTGCGCCCCGTGTCGGGGGGCTCGGTTGCGGTCTCTGATGCGCTGTCCTGGGGGCCACCGAGTGCGGCTTCCCCGAGCTTCGTAGGGGGCTGTTGAGCTGGCTGCCTAAGAGTTAGCGTCAAAAAGGATGAGCAAACGAAAAAGGGGCGAGAACAAACCAACAAGCACCCAACAACAGCGAGAAACCAAAAAACACCAAGAAATGCCCAACAACTCAAAAACGAAAAAATAAAAAATCAAGAAAAGGAAAAAAAAAAACCACAAGAAAAAGGAAAGTGCAAAAGGTGCAAATGACAAGTTTGCCGTTACCCTTAGGCGCTCCTGGGGTTAGCTCTTGGGGACGCCAATGGAGAGGAGAAAAGAGAGAAGAGAGAGAATTGGAGGATGCCCGGAGTCGCGAGGCAGGGCAGCAGCGCCAGGCGCCCCTGCCCTGTCCCGGCTCTCGCCCGGTGGCTCTCGCCCGCGCCGGGCACCTCGCACTTAGGCGGGAAGCCCCCCGCGCTCCCCGACTTACATGTGAGTGGGGCACTCACACGCAAGGCTGCCCGTCTGCCCGCCGCCGCCGCCCCGCGCTGGGACAAGGGTTCGCTCCAGCCGGTGCTGCAGCTCCGAGCCCGAGAGCAGGGAGCTAGCGAGCGCCGCCGGGCACAGCCACCTGACAGCCCGCTCCGCGGTGCCGACGCGACTGAGTGTCCCCACCGTGGAGCGGGTTTTTCTAACCAGCCTGATGACGCCCCAGCCTCTTCAGAGGACGAACCCATAAGCAAGGGCCCCTATAAAGCGAAGGGGAAGCGCGAAAAATCGGCCCACCGAGGACGCGTCCAAATGGACTGCGCTGCAGGCGGGGGTGAAGGGCTAATGCGTCGGTACCTTTAGTATGGGTAGGGGGCGCGGGGAGCAATGTGGTGGGGGGCACGGGCGCGCCCAAGACGGTGGGCACCCGACCCCGCCTCCTAGACCTGCCTCCCAATTTTCAGTATAGTGGTGTAGCCCTGGGCAGCGTGAAAACTATGCGACGACGACGACGACGCTTACCCATGCTATGCGCCTCCTTACCTCAGCTTCCCAGATAGCGCACGCGGACGGCGGCCCACCCCTCCCACCCAATGGCGCGTGCCCGCGAAGGTGGATGGCGGCGAGCTAATTAGTCGCGATACCCCACACGGGGGTTCGGATCTCCTCACGAGCAATATAATGCATGTGCACGGCCAGCATGGCAAGAAGAAGCAGGCGGCAGTGTGCAGGCGAGGCGACAGCCGAGGAGAAGAGCCATGGCGGTGGTGGTGGATGGCGGTGGTGCACGCGGAGTCCTCCTAGGTGGGAGAGGCGGTGGCCTGGCTCGGGCGCCATGCGGGGCTCTAGAATCAAGGGAAAAAGTACTTTATTGAACACGAACTTTTTGGAGAATTGTTTCAAAACTCACAAGTGTCCCACCCCACTCCCTGGCCCCACGCTATGACATGGTAGACAGCACCGGCTAAGTGAAAGGGCAGGGACATTAATTTTGGAACTACCTTCCTCGGGTGCTGGGGTCTGCCACCGGGGTCTGCTTGGATGCCATTAATTCATTCATTCAATAACTGGCCCACAACCACCTTGTGCCCAGGTGAGTGGACAGAGCCAACGGTCAGACTAAGACATGGCACCTTCCCCAAATGGGACAAGGTGCCTGTAAACCTAGATCTGCCGAGCAATCACAAACTCTCTTCCAAAGTTGCCTTCCTTTCACTTTTGAACATAGCTCGCAAAACTTGGGACGCTGGGGAGAACGAAACAAAAACTGTACTCTGAATGCTACATACCCCGGGGTCCTCAAGGGGAAGAGGGAGTGTTTGCCTCGAATTAATTGTTGTGGACAGCTCTATCTTTGAAAATAGGAAAACACTATTGACCACTCAACAGAGTTTTCGGGGCCTCCTTTCCGAAAGTTTGCCCAACTCCAACTCAGAAAGGGTGTGACATACAAAGCTACAAGACGCTGTTCGTCTTGGTCCCTGCTGGTATACCTCTACTTCTATTATACGCTCTATTTTCATTTTTATTTTTTTAACGGACTTTAAGAGTACAACAGAAAGTGATTCAATGCAACCAAGGATCTCTTGGAATTAAGAGCAGGAAGCTAAACCTAACAAACAGGCCCTCGCTTTCGGCTTTGCTGCCCAGTCTCCGACTTTTATCTCCTCAAACGTTCTATCTTATCCACAGCTGATTGAGGCCTCTCGTCCACACAAATATACACTCAAAAAAAAAAAAAAAAATACGAAAACCTCAAAGGAACTACTGTACCAGGTTGATGCTTTCTTTCTTTCTTTCTTTTTTTTTTTTTCACTTAACCAGAATGGATGAAAAAGATTTAACTGCTCTCCTGTTATGCTCCAGTGAAACTTGAGTCCACAGGCATCAGCCAGCCCTGTAAGTTGTGATATGAAGACAGGGAACTACCTTTTCCCTCTTCAACAAAAACTTCTTGGTTGAATTTGATTCATCTGTCATTTGTGAAATTAAAGACTTAGAAGAGAGAGGACCTGGCCAGAAATTTCTGTTCCGCTCCAGTTGCACAAAAGCCTCTTCCTTCCGGCTTCCAGTGTGCAGAAGCACCGATACATTGTATTTAAAAGGTAAGAGGTAAACAGTAGCCAGCACAACCTCCATGCTTATACAGTAACTACATCATACAGTGAGTATAGTGAAGAGTTTCTGCGCCTTCTCCTGTTAGATAAATATCACACCCAATCTTTAAAAAGAGTGACCTGTCTGATGGCACACAGTGAAACATGTAGCAAGGCACAATTGGGACCATTGTCCTAGAAATATGTAACACAAGGTCAGGATTTCCTCCATTCAACTTCTAACTTAGCCATTCTTGAAAAAGTTAAAAAAAAAAAATTAACTGTTAAGTTTTGCCTATATTTTCACTAACCAGGGATCCATCAATAAAGTGTTTACTCTGTAAATAAATGGCAGCAGGTGGAATCAAGGGTTTACAGGTAAGCATCGGACACCAGGAGCTCTGAAACACAAGCTGGTTTGTGGTCTGTTCAGTTTTCTGTTTTCACTTGACACAAAGTGAAAGGAGAGATTTTATTTCATTGGTATAGTGAGCTGACATCTATGGTTTTGGCCTAGCATCGACCTACACTACCCGAGCCCTCAAAGCTATGCATTCGTTTGGTTTTTCAAAAGTCTTCCACAGTTGGCTCTCACAATGTAGAACTTGTGAGTTGGCAATTGATTTTAATAGATTGCCCTGCGATTTTAAGCTCTTAAGTTTATGCTTTAAAAGTAAAGCAAATGAATTAGCATAATTCCTGGAACACTCTGCACTAGAAGGTTCTCCAGTGGAAGGTGTCCTCATCAGATTCCGAGACACATGAGCATTATAAAAATAGTGACATTATAGTTCCTGAGTGAGGCCATAAAATATCCTGCAGAAAAAACAGAGGGTCTTCCCTGGCTCAGGTGATTCGCGCCATGCCAAAGTCAGCAAGTTGAGATAATAACACACCCTCACCTGAAACACTGGGTCCCCTAACACACAGCTTGACCCCATACCTCACAGCTTTTTTTTTCCTCCCCTTCATAATGAATGAACTTGGGGTTTAATTCAGTGGCCTTGCCAGTTTTATATTTATACATGGGGGTTTGTGTTCCTCAGCCCTGCTGTAGCTTCCTTTCTGAGAAAGAATGTCGCATCTGCTTTCAGAAGTGACTGAATTACCATAGCTTAGAATCTTCTAAATATTATTATTACTTAATGATGCAACTGAGTTTTTGGACAAGAGTGTTCTCCTGGGCCTTTCATTAGTTGGGGTCATTGTAAGCTATTTTCCAAGAGTCTAGAGAAAATACAATTATAATATTATTTTAATAGCCCAGGAAACAATAGATAGGCTTCCACTGAGACAGCAACTTTAGCTGTAAGGCTTTAATAATAGTACTTAGTGATGTATTCTGTCTTCGAAGCACATTCTGCACTTTATTAGCCAGATGACTGGAACTGTTGTTGTAGATAAACGTTACTTGAAGCCTTGGCCATATTGGAGATGAAAGCAGGTATTGTAAAAAGTATTTTCTAGTCCTGGCTAATGTCCACTAGAAAGCTTTGATACTTAGGACCAGAAGGTTTTTAAACATCCAATGTCATGACCACCTATGGCTATTTTTTCTTGTCATATCGACTGGTTAGTATTTCAACTGCAAAGTAACTCTGAACTTGCATTCTGAATTAAACATGATATTTAAATGTCACCTCAGAAGTTCTAAGTCAACTGCTGAAAAATGGATTCACTACATGAGCCTTTGAAATCTCCCTATTTAATATCCACCAACTACTCCTCAAATAGCTCATCTTTAACTTACAACAGAATCTCACTCTAGTTCAAACCAAATGGAGAGGTGCACTGGCTAATGTGTTGTGACCCAATTTCCTGACCCTGTAGTTTTGAGATGATAGTATGTGTTTAAAATCATAGTTCAAAATAAGAAGGCAACTGAGACTTTTTGTAGCCTTCATTGACCATCAGCGACACAGATAGGCAAGTGCCACCTGTAAGAGGAACTTCATGGTCTCCACCACAGAAGCCTAATTCCCAAGGCCATCAGTGCCTTCTCACTACCTCCCTGAGAGGTAAAAGGGACCAGAAGGAGACTATGGGAGCTCTCTTCCCTTTGAAATTTAACTCTCAACAGGGCATTGAGTCTCTCCATATACAATTCAGATGGCAAGAGAGAAGAGGAAAAAGATTCCTAAGAAAGATCTTAGCAGCATAACTGTGAAACATGGAATAGTAAAGTCCAGAAGGAAGAGAGGACCAGCCCCACTTACTCAGCGCACACCAACACCAACGGGATACCAATGAAGCAGCCTAGCAGAGTGAGATTGCGTCAAAGAATACCACAGAGTTCTCCCCCACTAACAGCAGGAAAGTTAATTTTCCTAACATAAAACATCCCTCGCTTCCTTTGGGGGAAGTTACGTGAGGACTAAGGTAATGGGAGAACCTATAACCTAGAATGTTTAACTGGTCCTTGAAGATGGAAACTCACTGGGATGGAGGAGGATGCAGGAAAACAGTTACAGACTACTCTTCAGCCAACTTCTTCCTAGTTGACATCCAACATCTGAGTACACAATGAGAAAACAAAAAATCTGGTAGGTGCAATGGGAGATGTGATCTTGAGATGGCACTCAGAAATATCCTCTCTCAAACTTGGATGTTTTAATTGTTTTCAGATTGTGTTGAATTTTAACTCCTAGCCCCTGGCATTCCATTCTTTATTAGTGCTATCATAAGAACTAGGTAAGTTAAAAACAGGTGTAGGCAACAGTGTGACTTTGTAGGTATCCATTTACCTCTTTGGTTTTTACTGACCGAGATGTATTTTCAAATAATGCAATGACTTGACTAGCCCTACTTTAGGACAACTGAGATTCAGATGGGGATACAGGGGTCCTTCACTTTCCACAGTTTTCTCATTGTCTGCTGTTAGGAAACCCCAAATTAAATTATCAGTGTGGCAGAACTAACCACATGTTTAATTCATCTAGAGATGTAGGCACCTTTTCATCCTCTTGTGTTTGCTCACACATGTTGAAATTGGAAAATGTATAATTACTATTTAGCTCCACCCATTTCCCTCAGGGCCTAGACTACACAGCCCTTCCAGTGAGGAAGGCCCCCACGGAAGGGGGCTGTGCAGGAGTTGCTGTCTGCCTCCTGCCTGGACTCAGGACTCAGTGCTTGCTGGGAGATCAGTGGCACTGCCCTCAATATCAGAGAGTCCAGATGGCACTGTGGCTTTCTGAGGTCCCTGCCCAGCTCTGGAAGTGCCAAACAGGAGAAAAGTCTACAGCCAGAAAGTTCCAGGCATTTATTTGTAAGAGGCCTGGGAATTGGATGAAAGGCTGTGTTTCATGAGCTATAGACCTCAGCTGTAGCCACAGCCACATTTAGGGGTCTCTGCATGCCACTCAGTCCTGGGGAAGTTGCCTCGGCTCAGTCTTCAGCATTTCTGCCGGTCCCTTGCTTTACTCCCTGCTCCCATCTCAGATTACGACTCCTTCTAAGCTAATTCCACCCCTAAATTGAAAGAATGTTGCTGACTTCACAAAGAATACAAAGCAGACTGGCTTTAAAAACTAAATATGGCCAATTTCTTTCAGGTTGAAAGATCTAGCTTCTGGGGGTACATCATTAAAAATGTGTCTTGCTTTTGGAGAACATTTACATAAAATGATAAGGTAAATTAAAATTTTCTGAGGATGACAGGCTGGTTTAAAGTTCCATGGAAAGAAAGAAATGGAAGCCCCCAACTGTTGAAAGACATGTCTGCCCCTTGTGCAGTCAAAGTACAAGCAAAAGGAGGGGAAAGCTCTGAACCTCTCCTCCTGGAAGCCTACTGCTGGAGCTACAAGGGGTGGGAGAATGCTGTGCTCTAGCCCTACTCTCCACCGGATAAAAAAATGGCCTTTTAAGAGGTGTGGTGGCTCACACCTGAAATCCCAGCAATCTAGAAGCTGGCACAGGAGGCAGGAGGACTGCCATGAGTGAAAGACCAGCCTAAACTACAGAGTGAGACTCTATCTTTAAAAAAAAAAAAACTTAAAGAAGATGGAATTAAAAAGGAAATATTGTCTCTATCCGCCAAACAAATCCCAAGGAATCCCCTAAAGATTAATAGGTGAACAATGCTAACGTGGAATGGTTTATTTTTCCTAATGAACAGTAAATTGTTAGCTAATGCTGAAAGAATGCTACATCTGTGACCTTTAGGGCTGAATGTGAACACTGGCTTAAGTGACAGGTGTACCCATTGCATGCCCAGCTTGCCTGAAATTGAAAGACCTAACTCAGATTTTCCCCTCAATTAACTGATGCCAACATTACAGCCAGCCAAGAAAGAGCCTCTAGCCAAAGGCACAGCAGACCATGTGTTCTCAGTCTTCAACATTTCAACAGTAGTGTCAGCCTTGGGGGAGAACAGAGCAGGGCTTCCCTGGGAACAGAGATGGCCCTGCCCTGTTGAGGAAGGTAGGGGAAAGTAGCTCCCTGATGCTCAGCTGAGGGACACTTTCAGTGACGGAAGCAAGCCCAGGATTCTAGAAAACATGTCACTCTAACTGGTATTATTAAAGGAGGTGGCACAAAGCGAGACGTGCAGTAGTGAACTGCAATAGACTAAGTAGACCTATTTTCACCACTAGGTTGCAGTGACCTTAACACTAAAAAATAAAGACTGGGGAAGTATCCCTTGACCTACAGAGGAGGCCAGTACCTTGGGGTGAGAAGTCAGCAGTCACCTGATGACCTTAACAACAGAAAGAGGGCCAGGTGGGACAGTAAACCCTAGAGCCTGGGAAGATGGAAGCTGCTGGTGACACTGGGATGTTCAAGAGCAACCTGAAGGAAACACAAGAGGATGAGAGCAGGTTTGATGAGTCAAGACAGACCGAGCAGAGGTCCTGCTCTGGCCCTTTCCACCCAGGTCCTCCTCTGGCTCTGGACCGTCTTTGGTCAAGATGGTTGAAACATATAGTGGGGTTGATTGAAAACTCAGTTGTATTCTTCTGGCAATTTAAAGGCACACCAAAGTCTACAAGCCTACCTGGCCCCAAACC